AAGAAAACCGGGATAAGCTCCAGCAGCTATGAGCCAGTCTGGCTTAAAAGTTTCACTTTGTTTTTATCAGGTGGGTGTATTGTTAACCCGTAGAAAGTGTTTTTATGGCATTTAAAGCTATGGTCCATAGAAAAAATAAGGCCATATTCTGGAGCTATAGCTCATTGCAAAATTTTCAATGCCTTTTCGATCTCGTTTCGGGCTCAAAACTAACTGATTTACATTATTTCTCGTTCAATATCATGAAGACTTGGGCTTAGTATAAAAATCAATGCAATAATCTCAAGTAGCTGTTTTGTGGTGCGCCACGTGATCATATCCAGAAGATTCAGCATAACCGGAAATAGATTTTGAGTCCAATCAGGGAAAAATCGATTTTTGTGCAAAATTCTACCCAACAAAGCTGTATTAGAAGAAACTAACTACAGTCCATTTGATGTGGAAATTGTGGCTTTTTATATAATACGTCAAATTATTCTCGCGTTTTGTTTAGTTCTTATTACTCTATTGCTCGAACTGTAAGTGTTATTTATTTATTCATTCGCTTATTTGTTTATTTCTAAATTACATGTGTAATTATATTTATCTTCATTATAACTTGCGTTTCGAAACATTTTACTCAATGTCCAATTCAGGAGTGATTCGCTTGGTAGGCGGTGGAATTAGCTCCGGACGGGTTGAAGTTTATCATAACGGACAATGGGGCACAGTGTGTGATGATAGCTGGGATATGAATGACGCAAATGTGGTGTGTCGCCAGCTTGGCTTCTCCAGCGCGTCCTCCGCTCCTGGTAATGCAGCATATGGTCAGGGATCAGAACCAACCTGGATGGATAATGTAGCCTGTCAAGGAGGGGAGGCTTCACTATTTGCATGTACTCATAATGGTTGGGGAGTGGAAAACTGCAATCATGGTGAGGATGCAAGCGTTGTTTGTAACGCTTAGATTGCTAAAAACTCTGCATAGAAAAGGTTTAATTATGCAGTATCTGGTCCCCTTTGGTTGATTATCTAATTTAGCAATATATATATTACTACATTAACTAGAGGTTAGTCTAAAGTTCAGTTCGATTTAGTTTATACCATTCGTACAAATAACTCTCATCTAAAAGAGATATATACAGCGATTGTTTTCCTTTTTTTTATCAATACAGTAGGATAATTAGCTGAGTAGCACAAGAGAAAATGTGGGAACAGCCCCATAAATGTTCTCTTTAGGACCTGACGTTCTTAATCATTGACTTCATAGTTGAGGATCTCAGTAAACCGAGACGTTTATAAGTAGAAGTTCAAGCTCAAAACTGCATGTGCATAGTCCGTTTAAACGCTATGGATTACATGTATGTCAAGTGATTTCGCAGATACCCTCGGCGGGTGCTCCTCAAAATCCCCTGGCCAGTCGCCGATGACCAAAAGTTGCTTTGTCACTTAAGATTTGTAGGGATTTATAATATTTAGGGCGTAAGGTGCTTTTGGATATCATGAAGGGTGAACCCTTATAGAATCATAGGACCCTCTTCGCCAAATAACTACTTTGCGTAGTCACGATAATTGGTAAATATATCGTAAGAGATATATTTAGAAGGTAATTTAAAGGCCAAAAACTCTTTTTATTCTCGTCATAATCTACACATCACCCAAACAAACTTTAAAAAATTTGATTTGAACAAAACGCGATTATTATTATTATCATTATTTTTTTTTTTTTTGTCTGTGGGTAAGATTATGTTTTCGCGGTAAACCTATGCTACTGATGAAATAGACGACGAGGCCAAGTTATGTAGTTTAAAGAATCTGAGTTTTGTTAATTTTCATTACGCGATACATTTATTAAAGGAAGGAAAATACTAATTGCTCGCATCTTTCCGTCTTGGCTTAGAAAGCTCTCGACTCAACTTATTTTAACATGAGTCACAGGATTCGTGGGAGACTAACATACCAAAATGGAGGCATATTTAATGAAAGTTTTCGATAATTATTTTTTCAAATTGCGTTTTGTTCAAATCGACATTTTCTTTGGTATGTTTGGTAGGAG